AAAGGCATTATTTTATCCTTGGATTGTCTAAACACTCTAAGCACCAAAACAATGTGATTTATGAAACACAATGAATACAAAGCTCATTTCTTAGCAGTGTTAGGTCATCTGTGGTTGTGAATCAGCAGTGAAATAGCAGCTGCTGTGAAGAGCATCTAATTTCTTTCTCTGTTAGTATTTAAAACTTTGCAGGCTTAGTGAGCTTCCCCCTTACTCTGCCTCCCCCTTCATTCAAATTATGCTCCATTTCTCTTCCTTCTCGCCTGTCCCGTAGGCTGTATGACACGTTCTTTTCCTCACATGTGGCTTTACTGGTGTTGGAGGATGCAGGATTTTCTCCTGGCTGTTTGGGACCAGCAGGAAAACCCCTAGTGCCCTTTCAGTTTTGCAAACAAACCTTGAATAAGAACACAGAGGTGAAGGAATTGGGTCTCCTCCCTCATCCTGAGGCTTCACAGAGGGACTTGCTCTGAAGGATAAAAGTACTTTCCATGCTCATGTGGCTAATTTGGGTTTACACTTTAAAATTAAGGTTGCCAGAGGAATAATTTAAACTAGCCCTACTGTGAGACTTGTATTTATTCTCTGGCAGTCTGGTACTTAAACAAATGTCAGAACAAGCTGCTGGGACAGTGGTCTGCAATCCAAACTGCATGTTTGTGTACCATAAAACAGTGAGTAGCTGACTGTAAAGAAGGAGCATTTAACTGTATGCTATCAGTTCTGCAGGATGTCCTCTCTGCTGCTGCCTCTCGTTGAACATCAGAACTGAAACCATCTATCCATGGAAATATTTGCTTAGTTCTGGGCACTTCATGGTGTAGATTCTTCATTAAAGTCATTTATTTCACCAAATATGTGGTTTTGAAAGTGATTCAGTGTAAGTGTGGTCTTTGACTTCTTTTGGCTTTAATTATGGAGAACTTGTTGCTACTGTACTCAATCTGCTTTTGAGCAGGAAACTCATTAACGAAAGCGCTGAGGGTGGTAAGGCACAGGGCACTGGTATGAGAACAGGGATGCTCACAGCCCTACACTCTGAAATGCAAGCCTGAAAACAGCAAATGTCTCTTGGACTGTGTAAGTAAGGCATTTGTGAAAAAATAAGCTTAAAAACTGGAACTGGATTTCCTAATCCCTTGATGCCAGTATTTCAACTAGTTAAACCTAAGCACAGTCCGTATCAGGTTGTTGGCTCACCCGTAAGGAAGGAAAGCAATAGAGCTTAATCTTTAAAATATGTCTTGGGAAAACAAATGTGACAGGTATGTCTTCCTATTGTAAACAGGCTTTGGGATCTGGATTCTTGTGCAAATTACCTTTGACAGTTGTTACTAAGCTTCCACAAACCAATAAATGATTTTTGTCCTTGTTATATTAATAACTCAATCCCTTGACAGCTGTGATTATACTGAGTCCCATAAAGGACCTTACAAAGGGACATCCATATTAAAATAAAACTCTTTGAAGTGAGAAATAGGAAACCAAATTCTATTAGGCCCTAATTTTACACAGTAATTAAAAATGCTTGACCTCCCCCATCCCACCCATCTATTAGCAGCACGTATGGCTAAAGAGCAACAGGGGATACAAGCCTTGCTGCTAATTTTAGCCCAGTGCCAGGGGGTGTGGGTGCCTCTATGGGTGCATGCAGCAGCATCAGCCAGCAGAAAGGTGAGGGATGCAACTCCATCTGAAACAAATCCACCCTGAAGGTCCCTTTGGGTGGAGGAGGTCTCAAGTCATGTTACTGTCTGGCTTTTGCAGCATCTTTGAATGCTCGTGTCACGGGGCTCGGTGATCCTGGAAGTGATGGGGGTAAGAAGTCACAGCAGAAGATGAACTCAGGGTGCTACGTTGGTGGAAATAGCAGAATGCTGATTGAGCTCTGGCTGTGTGGTTGGCTCAGAGCGCAAACCTGTTCACGTGAAAGGTGAGGGTTAATTGGGATGGGAGGAGAATCCCAGGAAGATTTTAGAAACTTCTGACATAACCTTTCAGGAAAGAGCGAGACAAACCAGTCCATTGCAGAAATGCAGGAACCAGAGGGGCAAAACAGAGAAAAGCTTCAAAATGGCCAGATGGCAGCTGTACACAGTGGGTTAAGGTCAATCATTGGCCACTGCAATTTAAAAAGCAATATTAGAAGTTAAAAAGAGGTTCATTGAGTGCTTAGCAGGGATACAGGTGCCCAAAGGGCTGCTCCACTGTCCCTTAGAGGACACGGTGGCCAAGGAGTAGGCATGGAAGAGGCTTGCATGTGCCTGAAGCCACGTCTGATAGCACAGGGTTAGTATCTCTTTTTGCCTTCAACTCTAATAATCTAGTTGAAGATGTCCCTGCTCACTGCAGGGGGGTTGGACTAGGTGACCTTTAAAGGTCCCTGCTGACCCAAACCATTCTCTGATTTTATATTTGCTAAAGAATGGCCAACTTAGACATTTCCAACTACCCTCAGACTTTACCCTTGTCCTCTTGGGTGTCTGCAGGTAGCCCAGCCCGTGGGTGTGAAGGGGAAAGTACTCTTGGCAAGCCGTCGGAAAGGTCATCGGTCTTTAATCTGGAGCTGTGACTTAACCAGCTTTTTCCTTTCAATTCATAAGACAGGACATGTCGGGATTACCAGGGCTATACATAGATTGCTCTTAGCTGTGTCCTGTTCTGCTGGGAGCACTTAAGAGCTGTGTCAGCCTTGGGGCTGGGCATCCTTCGTGCTGTTTGTCCGTTGTTGTTTGCCCTCTGCAAAGAGTTTCAATGCCAGCACTCAGCGAGGCACTGGCAGGACCAGAAGAGGACGGCTCTGAAGCTGGAAGCACTCAGAAGTTGGGTTTCCTCAGCGGGAAATCCATCAGGAAGGATCTAGGTGTGGGTTGGTTATTGCTTCCCAGAGTGGGAGTCAGAATGCAACTCTGAACATAATTTGTTGGGTTTTTATCTGAACATAAGATTTTTTTTTTGTGAGCCTTTTTTTAAGTGCATGTTTAGCTCATCAGGGGTTTGGCAACAGTGTTGGATTGTGTGTGTCCATGTGTGCACATGGAGATAACAAGCCAAGGCGTAATCCAGAATTCCTCTGCTTGATAGCCCCTTATCTCTTGAGCATGTGCTGCCTGTGTTTTCTCTCTTGGTGAGTCCCCTCAGAGGTGCTGGCTGTGTAAACACAGTGCTGGTTTTAATGTTGAAGTTCTGGGAAGGTCCTGCTTTATTGGCTCCTGAAATACTGGGAGGGAAGAACCCAAAAGTGAGCTGCTGGCCAAGGACGTGCAAACAGGCAAACCCTCTACAGATTGTCAAGGAAATAGCTGCTACTGGCAAACAGACGTGTCTGAGCTTTCTTTAAGATACTTTTGAAATTACAGCTTGCTCCACACAACTCATTAACATTTTAATATTGGATATTTCAATTCCTTATTGTCAGGTAGCCCATCAGTCAGGGTGTGTGTGCAGTAACTCGCAGTGCACGTACAGCCCTTGGTATTCTGTTTCAGTATTTCAGTTGCATTTGGCAACAAACGTTCTGTGTAAACTACTTAAAATCCTTTGAATTCCAGTGGATCAGACTGCAAACAAGAAGTGTTATCCTAGGTGAAGCTGCTTAGCGCCGGGTATGTCACTTGACCTTTTTTTTCATCGAAGCTAGCAGCCTGCGCTGCCTATTGTTGGAGCGTGGATTGGCTGCATGAGAGCACTCAAACTAAAGCAAATATATATGTGTGTGTATGTACGTGTCTATAAATAAGTCGTGCTACTTAAAGGGTTAAGTTTTGCAGCGTACTGCCAAGTACTGCACTAAAGAAGTTCTGTACATTAGTGGTGCTGAGGAATTCAGCAAGTCTCTCTCGGGCCTCAGCAAGGGAGTTGTGTTGCTGTAAAATGTTGGCTTGAGCGTACAAACTGTTTCAGGTGCTCAGATGGGATCAGTGAGACCTCTTCACGTACACCCTGATTTGAGGGAGAGTGTCTTGTTCAGCATCTGGGATTCCTCCAAGGTGACAGCTTCACTTGAGGACAGAAAATATCATTTACAAGGGTAGCTGAAAATGAAGTTTCCTCTTGGCAGAGTGGGAATGAGTCATTGTGGGTTTGAGTCAAGGGGCAGGATCTTCCCTTCACTGCAGCAGGTTTTGGCTCTCCCAGTCTATCCAGTTAATTACACCAGCACCCTTCTCCAGTTCCACATAGTGTCAGTGTTTTGCTGGTGGCAGTTGAATCTGAGTGTGTTCTTCCTATGGAAATTACAGTCAGAGCTTCACAATTCATTTGTAAATCTCAAACAACAAAGAATGTCTTGACTTTGACTATAGTAATGTATCTTACTTTCACAAGGTCTATTTTTTTGCTTAAATGTAATGTCCTATTACTGTTACACTAACTCACATGGTTCCTACTATTATTCTCCTTGCATCTTCCATTCTGGGATTTCAGATGGGTACCGAATACTCTTTGCTTCTCCTAATAGCCCTCTCTATTGTTTTCCGGAGAGATCTGTCAATTTTATTGAGCTGCCGTCATAGACTCTCAGTCTGCCGACTCCTGCAGCTGGAGAAGACTGTGTTCTGAATCGAGAGTACACACAGATGTTTGCTCATCATACAGATATAGCTGTTCTGCCCATAGATTGATATAAAATTACTTATTCCTTTGCCTTGATGAGGGGAGGCTTTTTTCAGTATTTTTTGGTAAGATTTTAAATGAGTATTTGGAAGGTTTTTAGGTGTTTAACGTATAGGTAGGTGTTCTTATGTGTTGCAGATAGTGAATGCTCTTGTTAATGAAGTTGGTATAAATATGTACTTGAAGGGTTCTCGAGGGGGAGACAAGTTCTTGGCCTTTTTAGGGACTTGTAACTCTTAGTTAAGCATTCATCCAACAACAACAACAAAAAAATATCCAAAAAACCTGCCGTTTGTCATAAGAGCTCATAGATCTGTTGCAGTTCATAAACTCAAGAGGCCATGAACTAATATTGTTCACTCTTCGTGGTGTTGTACATTTTGCAGAAGGCGTTTTATCTCCCAGCGCTGCTCTCTAGACTTTTTAGAAGACATAGTGGAATATGCCAGTGTACGAAGGTACTTTTTTCAAAAGCAGCATTAATCTTAGCTCGTTGCATGCAGTCCTCTCCTCCCTCCACCCTCTTCCACGCCAATATCTGAGGTCCTGCATGCTAGTGCTGCCATCTGATCATACAATTGGCATGACTTTTTTTTTATTTTTTCAGAGCACTTAACACATTTTGTTTCGTTTTGCTTTTTTATAATTGCAGAACCAAACATATATCTGGATCTCCAAGACACAAAAATTTGAAGAAGATGCACTTCATTAAGAACATGAGGCAGTATGACACGAAGAACAGCAGGTAATTTCTGGAGATCAAGGTGCTTCCTGTACTCAGGTGAAATGGGATGACTCTAGTTCAGTGCTATTAGCCATTGAGTGTCAGTGGGAATAGGGCAATGTCCTTGTGCTCTTAATTAATTTTAGTTAATTTTAAAATTAGTTAATTTTTTACATGCTTCTATTGATGGCAGTAGGTGCTCATATCTGCTACATCTACAGCAGTATTCTGATGGTCTGCCATCCTGCTTTGAGCAGGTTAAATCAGTCTCTTCTAACACCTAACATCATCTTATCTCCAAGCCCACAGAGAGGTTAGAGCTGAGGAGGATTTAAGGAGAATGGCTTGGTTTAGCCAAATTCTTGGCTCCTTGTGGCTGGGCAGAAGAGAAAAAGGGGGACACATTCATATTTATTATTAATAGCAGTGTGAGACTTCATCTCAATGGAAAATATTATCTACATTTTTTCACAAGGTTTATATAAAAGTTATATAAATACAGATCTATATTTAAAGAGTGGGATCTCCTTTGAGGAGCTCCCAAAGGTGATGGCAGTTACTGAACACTGGGGTTTGATACAGAACTTGGCTCTAAGGACCTACAGGGTCAGAACGAAACCTCTGCTTTTGTGCTGCATTCCAAAAACTTAAAATCCGTGGCAGTATTCCATGTGACTTCCAGAGCAGTTTAAGAGGAGTTCTGTGTTTGTTCCATAAAAAGCTGCTTTGTAACTTCTGAATTTTAATTCTTAGCCTGATCTCTTCCCATCTGCTTACAGGATAGTGTTAATCTGTGCTAAACGAACTCTGTGTGTGGCTTTTTCTATCCTACCTTATGGGGAGAGTTTGCGGATCAGGTGAGTGATCTTTAACTGCTTTGTGAAAGTCTGGGCTATTGTTTGCAAAAGATCTTTTTAAATTAGTATGGTTGGTGTAGGTTACTACAGGAAACCTGCAGAGTTTTATAGTGAAATTACATCTAACTAAGTTGAAGATGTTCTTCTGGTTTTCACTTCTAAGCCATAAATGTCACCATTTCCAGTCTGAGAATCAGTTTAGACCCATAGAAACCGCTTTGAGTGTTTGTACCACATTTTTGTATAGAACTGTCAATATGATCACTTAGGAGAAACCAGTTGTGCTAACTGGATTTCCCTGCAGCTTTGCTCAATCCCTTGTGAAGTCTTAAGTTGATTTTGTGAAGCTCTGTCATCTACAAGTATACCACAGAAAATACTAATTTTATTCTAATCCACTTTTGGTAAAACAATTGTGTTGTCACTTCTGTCCTGCACATAACTTATGTGGACAAAGGAAACGGATGTTTAGTGGTGGGAACTGTATTGTATGCAAATACACACCGTAAAAATAGTTGATGGGAAAATATTCTCTCACTTCATAGAAAAGCAGCAAGGTCACTGGAGCTATTTTAGAGCAGTTTGTCGTTCTGCTTGTGTGTAAGCTGGCAATGCAGTTCTTCACCAGAAAGCTGCTTTTTCTCATTGGAATAGAGGTGACCAAGCTGCATGCTGCCATCGCTGAAGGAGAGTTCTGCTGGCAGCCTTAATTTTTCATTTAAGCTCGTGTGCACAGTGGTTGGAAAAATTGCAATTGAAAGGCAAGTTTCTAATCCTGGAAAACTAGTAATATGAATCAAGTTTGCTGTTAAGTGTTTGAGCATTAGTGTGTTAATGACTGGTGTGGTCTTATGGCATATGGAGAAAGACTACATTAAAAAAGTTTACATGTGCTAGGCATATTGTTACAGATTTGAGTTATAATGATATGAAATCTGATTCTTCAGTTAATGAACATCTCTACATTTTGAAAAGAGTACTTAAAAATTAATGCTTTCTTGGAGATGGGATTGAGGGATTGCACTGTTCTCCCATAAAACTCTGACCTGGTGGTGTTGGCTGTAGCTGGACCTGGTGTTTACCATAAAGGAACCTGGGCTTATGCTGCATTTTCCAATAATGTATTTTCTTATCTGCATTTAGTGATCTAAAAATGGAAGGACAGAAGCAGCGACATCCTTCTGGGGGAGTTTCAGTCTCTACTGAGATGGTGCTTGGACTGGAAGGAGTAGAGCTGGGTGCTGATGGCAAGGTAAGGATGTTTTTTCTTTTTTTTATTGGGTGATTTGTTGTTTGGGTTTTTTTTTTATCTGTAATGCCAATGACCAAACCACTGCCTGGAGCTGGGGACAGCAGGTGGGTCAGCTGGCTGTTTTCACCCTGGGACTATTTCATGCTGGGGCAAACCACTTTATGGTTTATAACTACCTGAAGGGAGGTTATAGCCAGGTGGGGGTTGGTCTCTTCTCCCAGGCAACCAACAATAGGACAAGGGGACATGGGCTCAAGCTCTGCCAGGGGAGGTTTAGGTTAGATGTTAGGAAGAAATTCTTTACAGAAAGGGTAATCAGGCACTGGAACGGCCTGCCCAGAGAGGTGGTGGATTCACCATCCCTGGAGGTTTTTAAAAAGAGATTGGACGTGGCCCTTAGTGCCATGATATAGTAATTGGAGTTGGATCAGGGGTTGGACTTGATGATCTTGGAGGTCTTTTCCAACCCAATCTATTCTATGATTCTATGATTCTATGGATGGCAAAGCACTCCATAAATTGAAAGATGTAGCTTTTGAGAGCAGTGGAAGCTTGTTTTGATCCTTAAAGTTTGAAAAGCTTTGCTTATGATAAAGCTGCTTCTGAGGAGGCTGTTGAAGCCCATGATCACTTTCTGCCTCCACGTCTGGAGAAGTGATTTGACTCTGGTATCTCAGGCAACGTGTGAGTGATGTTTTGATAGAAATATGGGCAAAATTTATACCTCTTTAGTTAAGTTTATACACTACTGGAATTTTACTGATGTGATTCTCCCCCTTTTCTTTGCTGCCACACCAAATCTTCTATGACAGTTCCATACTGAAGTCGTGGAAGCAAGGCATTCCTCATCCAACTTTCCTCTTTCCTTCTGTCCCACAATTTCAAGGTCCCCACTCCCAAAGACAAACTCTAGGGGACTCTCTGAGTTGGAAAATCTTAGATGTCTGGAAATAAGCTTTTCAATAAATTTTCCCCTATAACTACTACGACTTTCTCTTCTTTAAGGTTGTGTCCTATGCAAAATTCTTGTATCCGACCAATGCCCTTGTTGTTCGTAAAGCCGACAGCCACAGTGTTGTTCCCTCATGTCGAGCTAGTGCTGCACGGAGTCTTCCTGGATCAAGATATAAACCTGTGACAGCAAAAACGATACCAGCAGGAACGGAGATGGGTAAGGACAGCCACCAGCTTTGTCACTGCTTGTGCACACAGCAGAAAAGCATAAAAGGAATATATTTCTCTGAAACAATTGCAAGTGGTAAAATGGATTATTAGGAAGGATGTGCTGCAGCTGGAAGGAGACTGTTTTTAGCACAGCCTAGCAAAGAAGGCTCCTCAATGAAGTACAAACAATGAGCCTTAAGACTGAGACTTGCACGCATTCCTTACGTCCTCTGTAGATCTGGAAATGTGAAGTTTTATATTACTCAACAAGAAACATCTGGTGTACGTGGATACAGGTAGTCCTCCTTGCCTTCTAGCACTGTAACAATGTATAAGCCAAAGAGTTTGTGACAAGGATCCCTTTTCTTGTATAAAAGAGCAAACCTGGCAACTCCGCTATTAGATTATAGGCAAAAAGAATTCACACTTGTGCAGTTTTCTCTGCATATTTGTGGATGACAAACTTAGTTCGCACTAAGTCTAAAATGGTGTGACAGGCACGTGCTGGAGAAAGAGCTTGTGTGGTTTTTCAATAATTCTGCTATCTAACTGGTGCAGTTATGACACGCATACAGATGATCGTAGCTGCAGTTTGCCTGTACTATGGGATCTGCCAACACTTTTCATGTTTGCTGTTTGAAAACTTTTTTTAAAGAGGAAACAGGGAGTTTAAAGCTCTGTATCTTGTGGCCCAATGTTCTTTCCTTGTTCCCTCAGGAAGTGAAGCTGGGGAAGCTGCAGAGTATGATCCAAATCTCCTGGATGATCCTCAGTGGCCCTGTGGAAAACACAAGCGTGTTCTCATTTTTGCTTCTTACATGGTGAGTGGCTGGCATGTGTGAACAGAGTGAGTGCCTGGAAGATCCTCCTATAAAGAACTTCCTGGAGGAAGAAAAAGTTGTGTCTTTTTGAGAATTCATTAGGAAAAAATAGAAATAGTTGGGTTTGTGCACTCAGGTTGTTGAGAACCAACCTGATGCGTATCTCCATGTTGTCATTTGCTTCTTGTAACCATTTGCTTGCTAGTTTTTTAAGACTTTGTGCTTGAGATTCAACGTGCTCTTTCACTTTAGGACATTATAGAAATGTTAAATTGTGAATAATAAAACTCAGGTTTGCCATTGCATTAGTGTCTTTGAAAGACTCGTTTGGCTGTCAGTACTGTTTTTACAAGAGAAGTGATAAATTTTGCCTCTTGTGTTTCAGACTACAGTCATAGAATATGTGAAACCCTCGGACCTTAAAAAGGATATGAATGAAACCTTTAGAGAGAAGTTTCCTCATATCAAGTTGACACTGAGCAAAATTAGGAGGTAAGAAACAAGCATTGAATAATGAGAAGATCTACGCTGTACAAGGCTGCTTTTATCTTCCACTTGTATGGAGCAAATACGAGATCTATTAATAGTATATATGATTAAACACTAATCTCTCTGTGCCAGTTGAGCTGACTGTAGGATGACAGCCCCATACAGGAATGTTTAGGATGCTGAGAAAGGGTGACAGTTGGCTTTCATAGTTCAGGGTTTTGTTTCACCAACTGTGGCGTAGTAATGCTTATAGCCAATTAACAGTGAAGCAGCATTAGCCTTGACACAAACACTTGTAACCTGAGTGGTTTGTGTAATGCAGTCCTGCTCTAACTGGATTGTCTTTCTGGACCCTCTGGCTTTTTTCGCCTTTCAGTTGTCAGACTCACTCATGACCATGGACTCTAACAAGATTCTAGGATAAAGAAGAGTGTTAGGTCTCAGTAAAGAAAAGCATTTTGTGAAGGCAGGACTACACCACACAGAATTCCTTGTCTTCCAGGAAACACATCTGGTCACTCATCAGCGAGATGCCCTGTTGTGCCTTCTGAGAGCTGTAATCTTGGTGGTGTTACACAGCAGTTAATGCAACCAGGGCCTTCTGAAATAGTCAGCGTAGAAAACAATTCTGCTGGATCACCAGGGCTATGTGTAACTCAGCTCCAAGTGGAAGGCTTGCTCAGGCAGAGTCTGTGTTCTGCCGGTGTCCTGCATGCTCATCTTTGTAGCTGTTTTGAGTGGTGTGTCTGCACAGAGATCTTCTTGCAGGTGTGAGAGGCAGCATCCACCATAAAGTCTGTATTAATGCTGAAGGGAAAGGCCAGCTGTTGTGGGAAGGGTGTGAACCGGTCTGCCTTCCTCACTCCCCCCCCAAACCTGATTCTTCCATGAGGTGTGTAGTAGATGGATCTCCACGCAGCAACTGCTGTGATGTGCACGGCTTTGATGTGGTGTTCTGTAGGTCAGGGTGGTTCAGTCTTAGGATATGAATCAGGAACCAGTTTGGGAGCCCAGAGGGAATTGTACAGCAATAGCCTGTGTGTCAGCGAGGCAGCTAAGCACCTTGCTGTGTTTATGGGCAGATGAGGAATTGTTCTTCCATGGTAGATGTTAAATCAGTTTGTGCATCAGCTCCAGCTTGCTGCCAGCTGGGCTTCTCCAGACTAGGATAATATGCATCATGGTTTTCCACATGGGAATCTTGCCCGTATGCTTCTCTGAGTTTCTGTGCTGTGGTGTTTCTACAGCATTTCATAAAAGCTGTCGTGTTTGAGAGGGTGTCTTTTTTCCTATTTGCAGTTTAAAGAGAGAGATGCGAAACCTGAGTGAGGAGTGCAATCTGGAGCCGGTTACTGTCTCCATGGCTTATGTTTACTTTGAGAAGCTCGTCCTCCAAGGCAAACTCAACAAACAGAACCGCAAACTGTGTGCTGGTGCTTGCGTTCTGCTTGCAGCCAAGATCAGCAGTGATCTCAGGAAACATGAAGTTAAACACCTTATAGATGTAAGTACTATGAGACTTGGTTTAGGTGTCAAAACCCTCTGTTTCATAGAACAGAGATTAAAGCCAGGATTTTCAGCAGTGCATGCTTGCATTTAAGACTCTTTCAGTTACTTTTATGTCTCATTAGGGCTCTTTCTTGATAGTTTGGGGGGGGGTTTTAAATTCATTAAAACCACCTGACCCGGTGCACTCTAATGTCCTACTGATCCTACAGTGAGGTTATTTTTGCACTTACTGTTTCTCAAGCAAATGTGTAACTGTTGTGGGGCTGTCTGAGCTGAGCTGATAAGCTGGTTTACTTGTCTGATCCGTGGCAACACTTACAGCTCAGGCCATGCTTCACCGACTCCTATTTTATGCTGACTTAATCTAACAGTGCATCAGTATCGTGTGGATTCACTGATTCTTTCTTCTCTCTTTTTTTTATTATAATCATAGAAACTAGAAGAGAGATTCAGATTCAACAGAAGAGATCTGATTGGTTTTGAATTCACCGTCCTTGTAGCTTTGGAACTGGCTCTCTATCTTCCTGAAAACCAAGTTTTACCTCATTACAGACGGCTCACGCAACAGTCTTAACCAAAGCTGCGTTCTGGGCGACAGCCAGCGGCGCTGGGGCTCACATCACTGAACACTGCTGGTGTGAAGTTGTCGCTGGCCTCTCCGTGCCGCTGTGTTCATCCTGCCGTAGCTACAGCTAGTCTGGCAGTCTGTAGTGTCCCGTTAAACTGTCGAGGTGTGCGTTACGGATGCGTATGCCAAGTCTAGGGGATGGTACGAGAAGAGTTATTGAACTTTATTTTCTTTTGGACATTTAAAGCACAAATATTCACCAGTCAGCTGTCATGGCTGCTTATTTTATTCCTTATTTATCTTTTTGGTTTTACTAAAACTGATCTTCCCTATGAAGAATACTATGGTATTATTTCATTGTTTTGTTGTTTGTTTTTTTTAAGCCTTTATTGTATTCCTTGAAACTAAAGGAAGCATCACCTCCATTCCAGTGCACCATAAAGTTCAGATGTTTCTAAGAATCTTCTTGCATTTTTACATTAATGAAATGCATACTTTATTTTTTTAAAGATGTGCCTAAAACTGGCTGGTCTGGTACCAGTGCTTTTTAAGTTAGTTATGTTATTTAGTGAGGAATCCTAAATTTGTATAGCCATTTATTCTTTACCTGTATTGGCCTTGCATATAAGGAAAACAATACCAATATATCTGCACTAATGATACACAGGGCATCTAGTCTAGATACTATAGATCTGAAAGTAGCAAGATTGAAATTACTCCGTTCCAATTTAGTTAACTGTTAATACTGTAAGAATATACATTTTATTTAAAGAGGAAAAATTGTTTGAAAACCTGTAATGAAATGCCACATGTTGAACAAGATAACTGCAGCAAAATGATTGCCTTCCTAATTCACTCTTCAATGGAAGATGAGCATTTGACTAAGAGCAGTTTGCTGTCAGATGTCTCATTTATGATTTTTATTTCAGTGTTCTGTAGTCTGAAATAAGCACCTTTTTAGTATGACTGTATTATATATGGTCTTACATGCTCTGAGCAAATACTAAAGTCAGTAGAGCTACTGCTGCCAAACTAAGCCAATGAAACAAAGCATGTTCAGTATTTAAAATACTACTTTTTTTACTCCGTTCTTCCAAGCATTGCATCACTGTGATGGTCCTCATAAAACCTGCATTTGTTGCACATCTAAACAGCCACTTAATGGCTGGTGCCCACCAGCGCTCTGATGCTTATCCAGACCCATTGGTTATTCCTTCATTTATTTTTAAAATGTCCGGGTTGGGAATGAACTCTGATTCTATGGTGAACCTTCTGTCATACTGGCTCTTGAGTGTATTTTTTGAAGCAATATTATGATACAAGTAACTGTCCATTTGCAAGTAACAAAACTGATGCTTGGCTACTAGAACTGAGAAATTTGTAATTTAAGTTTGACTTCTCAATTAAATACTAGACCTCTACTGAGGGAAGGAACCTGCTATCTGATATGTAAAGTAATGTACATTCCTGTTCCTTGTATTAAATGTTGGTTGTAGGCAAAACCAAAGCTGAGTCTTTGGTCATCAGCTGTGCTTTGTCTGAGGCTAGTTTGGCTTCAGCAGCAAACTTTACTGGAGCCCCTTTCTCTTTAAGTAGGGCTCGAAATGTATTTTTCGTATATAATAATTACAGTGGCTATAAAATATTTTGTAACTTTGTTCAACTGTATGTAGTTTCAAGATAATTGTGTAAAATGTAATATGCTTGTGACTTCTCTCTAACGCAGCAGGATTTTCCAGCCTCTGTAAGTGAGATGGTAGCAAGTAAGCTTGCCAGTTATCTTCCAAAAGGTTTAAAAAAATGCCTACTAGTTAAACTTTTTACTGAATATAACTGTCCTTGCATGCAAGAAATATTGATGTACTCAACATCTAGTGTGTAACGAGCCTACAAATTAGCAAAGAGCGGTGAAGACAACTGGTCTGCCACTTCTTAAACTTTAATTAGAGGAGGGGAAGGAGGCAGAACTGAGCAAAGAAATTTCTTGCACAATATCTCCAGAACTAGTAAAACAGTTGGGTTAGTATGAATGCAATCAGAAAATGTCTTTCTCCGGGAACTTCTTTGTATACTTAGTGTATAAAGAGTTTTCTGTAACAAAATTAACTTTCCTTTCTCACCATCTAAGGAAAAAAACGCACTTTGGTTTGCAACACTTTGCAGTCTCTATTCAGTGGAAGCGTGTCTAGTTGCAGTGAGCATTTGGGCTGGGGTTACACTCCCAGAAGCTATGGTTTCACTCACTAAAATGGCAAGCTTTTGTCTTCTCTTTCAGAAGAACAAATTAGGATACGGAGCATTAAATTACGGAACGCTCAACGTTGTGTAAGAGTAACTGTAAACGTCAGCTTGGGCAACACATGGTGTTCTTGAGTTTGAAAGCTGTTGGAGCACAGACCAAAGCCAAGGCTGGGCCGATGTCTCTGGTGGAGCGTGGGTTTGGGGCTGATGCTGTCCAGACGTGTGGTCTGTGGCTTGTCCATCGGTTCCTCTGTTGTGGTATCTGCGCAGAACCAGCCCTTCTGCAGAGAGACACCAGCTTGTCTGTGTCTATTGTGTCGATTTTTCTGTCTCTAGAGTGCAGTCCTGCGTGGGAATATTTTTCACCTAAAAGCTGCCACCATGTGGCAAAGGACTATAACTACCTTATCCATTAATTAACACGAAGCGGGACCCAAATTAATACACGGATCTGCCAGCTTTGCATTTTCACAGCCCAACTCTTCTTGCTTTGCCGAGAAACGTTGGTTGACGGCAAGGGCTGGTCGAACCGTGTACAGATGCTGCTGGGTTGACTCATCACGGAGAACTCTCTTGATAAGAGGCTGTAGATTTTTACATGAACTGTTATGTTTTTGTCTTACTCCATTATTTAAAAGTCTGAGTTGTAGCCTGTTCCTTCCCCC